AGTAGAAACAACAACTCAAATGATTGATAAGATGTGAGACACTCCCAGTCACTGCGTCATAGTCTGCAGGAGAACGTTTGTTGACCTTATAATGGAAATAATATTGTGAGTTATAATAAATTAATTTTAAAAAACATATTGATTGAGTAACTTTAAAGTGAACAAACTAGAAACTATGAATCCAAAAAAATTTAGAAGAAAAGTGTTCGATTGATGGATTTGAATTTGCGCGCGCGCGTCTGCTTGCGTTCTCGAGAGCTCCAACCGTTTTTTTGTGACTCAAAAGTGTTCTTGGCAGATCATTTGAAAATGCGGTTCTCAGTTATTGTTCTGTTATTTCTTATTTTATTCAGTATAGTGGATTCTGAAAAAAATTTGTAAGTTTCGGTTTTCTTTTTCTCACAACTCTTTGTTACAGATTAGCGCCTCAATGTGCAGAATGTATCAAATTGACGAAATCTATAGGTGTGGTATGTTTCATGTGCAATACGCGTTCTATCAAGTTTTCTAAATTTTAAGCTCCTTGAAGGTCTTGTTACACCAGCGAGGTTACTTTCCATCTCACTTTGTTCTATAGATGAGAAGAATGAAGACAAATGTACAAGTTTCATGAATATGGTCCTGAAAATGATAAAAATTGCCGGAGAGGAGCTTTTTCTCAGTCTATCAGATCCAAAAGCTCAATTATTGTGCACTAATTTTTTCCCAGTATGTCAACAACAGTAAGTTAATTTTTTTCAAAATTGTTTTTCCCTTCTTTGTTTTCTCGGCTTGAGTTCTGATACTACTACTTTCAGGTCGAACCTTGGACAAAAAATAGAGATTGGTTATTTTAAATGTTCTAATTGTAAACTGCTTTTAAGCATCATTTACGAAGTTAGTTAAGAAAACGAACAAAGTATAATTTTACTTTAGTTACTACATGAACCGCTGAAATTTTTTTCCGAAACAGCGCCAGATTTCTTCTGCCCTGGTCAAAGGGAAAGTTGTACAAAAAAGTTCAACTCCAATATTTCCATAATAAATGGTTTTGAAGATTTTTTCGCAAAGAAGGTTAGTTACGTTTGGGTAATGAAAATCAAGTTTCAATATTTCCAGGTAAATTCAGATGAGTTTTGCGAAACAGTGATTGGCTGCCTAGAATAAGGACTAATTACTCGACGTTGCAGTTTCTCACTTCTGTGCCTTACTACTGTCTGCTCATCTTCAACAAATGAAACATATCATTTCACATTTAAAAATGGACAAAATAAAGTTCAAACTCTCTCTATACATAGAACTTGCTGGTCAGGGTTACTCAACAGCGTGAGGTCTTCTTAGATACTAAGAAAGGTTATTGAAATATCCCGAGAACATTTCAATCTCAATCTGGTTGCAATCTCCTCATAACCACAGATTTTAAACATTCATTTCAAATGTTCACATTTATTGGAGTTGTGAAAATGAAAACGGATCATATTTCTGGCTAAGATGACTGGGATTGGAAACACAGTTCGAAAGTTTAAATGAATCATGCTTCAGTATCTACATGGCTTTCATCCCGATACATGTGTTCCTGAACCCTAGTTCCCTTCCTTATGAATCATATTGGGATAAAAGCAGTTTGAAGAGTATAAAATTTCAAAGGCTGTAAATATTTCTGCTCGAGCAACTATGACGTTTTATATCCAGCTCACAAGTTAATGACCTGTAGACTCCAGCGAAAGATTTGAGAATAAATAAGATCCGTGGTGTTTTCATGCAAGATAACCTTCCTAATGAGATAACAGATAGGAA